AACGGGGCGGAAAACTGTCCTGTTCCGCCCCGAATACCAATCTGAGATAAAAACTGCCAAGAATATGAATTCTTTCCTGGGATGCTGCAGTCCTTTGAATTTCTCGAAATGTTTCGGAATTTCACAAAATTATTCGAAATGCTGGAAACTGTTCCTATCTCATTATGTTGCATTATTTTACGTCTCTTCTTGCTATACAGATAAAAGCAATCGCTGGGAACATAATAACAATCTGAATGGCATGAATGAATGATGATTGAAGTCTCATGTTTCCTTCTCAGTATTTTTTTCATTTCACCTTCATTGTGCTATCTCATGAGAATCACCACTTCACGAATCACTTAAAAATTTCGAAATCAATTCATCTTTCTGCGTTGGCTACAAACATCAACTGAAATCACATAAATAAAAAGAAATTTGAAAAAGAAACTGTAACAAGCGAGCGATCAAGCAATACAAATCGTTGAACCGAATGAATTTCCCCGTTAAAAAGCGGAGTTTAGCCACTCATAAAGTGTATATTTCATAAAGCATCAATGTTCAAGATTTTCATATATATCATTCATTCTCAATTGATTATCGTCTAGGCAATGAATGATTAAAGTGTGCATTCATTTTAGATCGGTGACAGTTTCATCTGATATTTTGCTTCTTATTCAAACCAGTTCTACTTTACGAATGAATAAATAAATGAAGCAATGCGATTAGATCGATTGAATGCATGAAAGTTATCATGTTCAAATCGCATATCGGATTGCTATCCCGATGTGAATGGTCATCGTGAATACTGATGCTTTTGTTTCACACTCTTGAAAAATCGCTCTGTTCTGCTTTGTTCCGCTCCTCAATTGTCTTGTTCTGTTCTCCTTTCGCATCCCAGCATTTCAGAACTGTTCTAGGGTAGTCTTTTAGCTGATATTAACCATCGAAGACGATTAATGTGGATAGAATTTAGCAAAGCTGAAGATAAAAATATCATTAATAATAACCATAAAAGAGGTGAAACTAATTACATGCTCATCGCTACGTATAGAGACTGGGTGGACAGACTGGCACGAGAGCAAAATGATCATGAACAGTGAGTGAGCGATCATAATTGTACTTTCGGCGTAAGGAATGACCATCATGGAGAACAATGCGCATGAACTACTTGAAAATTGGTACTCACGTCACGAGAGCAGTGGATAAGCAGCAGGAATTTTCAACAATCGCTCATCACTGAAAATACGACGAAGCAACAACAGAAAGAATATCAGCACATGCAAATATTGCATTGAATTTGCGAAGTAAACAAAAGAGTTTTGTAAAATTCATGAGAAGCGTCTGAAAAATATCATTGAGAAGGGAAAACGAAGGGAAGAAGAAAGCGACACTGCTAGCCACTCACTGTTCATCGGCCGTAAATCAGGCAAGTTGAATGTCAATCGCACGAACGCGAACAGATAAAATCTGATCTGCTCAGATGAAAAGAGATAAGGATGTAGAATTGAACGAACAACTCCACAGTTATAAATCATCATGAAATTATTTTTTTTGCTAGAGTGAGAACAAATCTAATCGCACTCTCCATACAATTAGATAACTTCTTAAAAAGAATATCAAATTNATAAGGATGTAGAATTGAACGAACAACCCCACAGTTATAAATCATCATGAAATTATTTTTTTGCTAGAGTGAGAACAAATCTAATCGCACTCTTCATACAATTAGATAACTTCTTAAAAAGAATATCAAATTTTAACACTTTATGCAAAACTCTGCGAATCCCATCAAATTATTTAACAACCGCTCTCTATTTTACCCCTCTTATTCGTTACAGTTTTGGTCCTGAAATCTTACATTTAGAAGTATTAAGGTGTTCATCAAATCAAATTTATTATCTTTCTCAGATACCATCACTCACTGCTTTAGTATTACCCCAGTTACACACCATTTGTTCGAACTTTAATCCTTTATGCTGTAAAACACCTCGATTCAATTCTCTCATAAATTCACACAAATCTTCACTTCGTTCGGAAAAAGTTNACGGCGAATGATGTCTCTGGCACACAGCTCAACTGCTGAAGTTATCAGAACAGTCGAGATAAATGACTTTTCGTATGCAGTAAACCAAAAACCATACCACCGTTCAACCATATTTTCAGCAATTCATACTCAATTATCGCAACTCACCACGAAACTGACCACAAATCCTTATCAAGACCAAATATTAGAGGAATCATCGCCTGCTTCCTCTCCGAGAGTCCTATCATTCGGCAATGCCTTTGTCAGCCCTTTCGTTTCCTACTGCTATCTTCGACTGAAGTTTTCTGGTCACTATCAAAAATTCTCATCTCAGCAGGCAAATAAATAGTTTCTGTTTCCGACATCGTACTCATTTGTCTTCAAGTGTTAAACAAACCGATCAGAACATTCTCGTGCATTGCATCACATTCCTTAAATTCTTTTCCGTTTCTCCGTCAGAAACGAGAATTCGGAAATGAAACGAAACGATAGTAATTTATTGGTGTAATTAAGTAAACAGAAAATAATGAAAACGACAAACGAATTCCAAATGTTACAAAACAAACGTTCGATCGCGGAACACTGAACAATGTTGCTGTAAAAAAATGAACGAAACGAAACAAAAACGAAGCAAAAACGCGATAACAAATGAAACTGAAAGGCACTACATCACAGAATACATTAAAACCCATACAAAAAGACTAAACAAAATGCGAACAATACGTGAAATTCGAATGGACATTCATAAAACAACAAAAAAAAGAAATAAATGATTTTTGGGTTACACTAGAAATTAGATTTTTTTACGGTAGCATCCGCAATCAATCACACTGCACAATTGCAATATCACTTAACAGTACATTACACTGGACATATCAATAGTATATTATGTCACTTAATAACTTACGTTATGTCGTAATCATCATGGTATTTTAGCCTATTCCATCTCATATAAGACCAGAGCTTTCATTGTTTTCTTCACGGCTCTCCCGTAAGATGCTCCTATATAAGCCGGAGGGGGCCATCAATCGAAGACGGGATGGAGTAAAAAAGAGTCGTTTATTCGAAGAAGTGGATGGGATCTACATTTGCACAGCTCTCGATGAAACGATCTTCTATTCAACGAAGCGGAGTTGTATTCAAAAAATAGAGCACAGTGACTGACAGCCGACACCAAAAATCGGTTGTTTACATGGTGACGCTTGTCTTACTAAATGACTATTTACAATCCAAACAAAACTTCGTTCGCAAACACCTTACTGCCGATTTCTCGAAGTCAGAACGGATGGATGGATGCGCGCACCCGACGTAAACAACCACTGATAACAAGCATAGCAAATAGCATCCGTACGGCTCGCTATCACCTGGAAACTGCATTCGTTCACAGAATAACATCACATACTCCTTCACAACTGATCACTTTGGATAACACTATTACCATTAACAATAACAACGACAGTTATAACAATAATACAAATAATAATAACGGAAATAGTTATGCAGAAATAGTGATAATAGATGAATAAATATATTAATCATAATCGTTATTAGTATCATAACAACAAGGATATGAATAGAGTAATGATTGTAATAACCAAAATATCAACAAAAATAATTTGAGTGATCCCATCACGATGAATTCGTNAGAGGAACACATCAAACAACATGAATTCCTTGGCCAAAATATGCGAAACAACCACAAAACCATACAACCCCAACGTTTTTTCACTTTAATCACCGAAAACCAAAACTTTTGAATAGCAAATCAATGAAATTCATTAAAACTGGTGTCGACCTAAGCAAAGAAGGCGATCACAAACAAATGATGCTCACATCAAATGGTATAGATGAAATTATCCATACAAACCGCTCTCACCAAATTGCTCAATTCCGTCCATCTTGACTCAACCAAATCGTTCGAAGTCATTTAAGCACTGAATTGTAACTACTAGGAACCTATTCCTGTCACAACAAACAAAATCAGAAAGCTATTCATCCCACAACATCGCATCTTAGACGCAAGAAAGCAAAGATGCTTAAGGCTTAATCGAATCAATGAGAAGTTCTCTTCAGTCCCCTTCCCTCCCTCCCCCACACCCAATCCCCATCTGAATGAAATATTTCATACATTGAACAATTAATCATCACGTAAACCACATTTTCATCAGATAAACCACTCTACAACCATTACAATGTGTCGCATGCATAAAACACCAACGAAAACGCATCGCAAAATGACCACTCGAACATTTCGTGAAATAATCACAGCCATTTAAACAGGATTCAAAGCCTTATATGAAGGGTCTGATTTCAACAGAACCGGCATGAATCACCGCACTGTGAACTGTACTAATGTGTTTCAATTTTAATGCTGTTTCATTGCGTGCACACTGCTAAGACAATAACGAAGATAAATATGAAAATTACTAAAAATAACCATGTAATGTAAACAACAATATTATGAAAGGAAACGAAAAGTAAATAATAAAAATGAATATGCACATTGTGATAAATACAAATCAAGTGATCTCACGAAGCGCTGATATAAGTAATCGATGAACACTGATCAACTCGAGCATAGCACGCACATACACATCAACTGAAATCTAACCATTTGCCAGCAATGATTAACGAATGATGATAATTACGAGTCCACCAGATCGCGTAATTCATCAGGTAATGATGATTGAGGTGCTGGAATTGTGATTGACGATCGCATTGTTGACTTGTTATTATTATCAGATTTCTGAAATACTATGTCCATGACAAAATGAGAGTGAAAATCACTGCCTAATTGATGAAGTGGTGTTTTGAAAAATTCAGTAAGCGATATAAGATCGATGCGATGAAGATGAGCAATAGAAAACCGTTTTCAATGTTAAATTACAATTTGTATCGTAGTTTCAGATTTAAATTTCAAAGCGGTGACTGAATCACAACAAACTATCCTTACTGACGATTATGAAGATAATATTTAAAGTGACACTGATAATAACGATCAAATATTAGTGATCATTGAAATATCGACGGAAAGAGATGATAACCGTTAGGGGTAAAGATCGTGAGGCCGATGCAGCTATCGATTCGTTTTCGAGAAATCTGATGAACTGTTCAGTTATCGAAACTGAATTCTGGGTGGCGGATGATCGTGGAGTAAAGCTAAACCCGAACCAACCCCGTGACGATGACTGATTTGCTGCTTGAATCTTTGCAACGTCCTCAAAATGCTCATAACATCGATTTTTCAAATATTTTATAGAACTGATATGAATAAATGTGAAAGTAAGCAGCAATATGCCTATCACGAATCACTTCAAATGCCTAATGCAAATCAAGTCAAATATCTTGCACTGTTACTACATAACTTGTCTAAAGTGATCCAAAGGTGTATATGTCTATACATCGACCGAACCAAAAGATGAAACAGAATTGTATTCATGAAAATAAAAGTTCCCATGAATCGATGGAGCAGACTACGATTCATCTGATTGTCATCTTCACCAAATGATTACATCTTTCGAAGTGATTGGTGCATCATCCATCGAAGTGGAATATAAATGAGAAGTGCGAACATACCTCTTGAGAGTATCCGAGCACAGAAGCCATTAGCATAGCAATGTCGGGCTGTTTGTCTTTTTCGGCTGTGAAATAAGATAGAAAGAGTTGTCTGAGCGTTTCGTCGTCAATCTGATAAGAGGACGACGACGCACCACCACCCTTTTCAGCACCACGCTCGTCTATTTGTGCTTCGAGTTCTTCGATCACCTTAATTCAAAAACTCGTTTCGAGTAGGAATTTAGTTCGCAGCTTAATGCATAAATCACAACCCAAGTTGGGCGAACACCATCAGTCGCCCTCTAGTTTTCAAAAAATCAAAGTCCAGAGTCGTCGCTCTAGGATCCACTGGAGACAGGGTTAGTCGAGCTTTTCAGATCATCCCAATATTGAAGCGAGTAGTCACGACTCACGATACTAGTGTGCGAGTTGCCAGCTAACTAATTTGTCTATGCTTTCACGATAACATGCATCAATCATGAACAGGACCTACGAACAATGAAGCATGCTAAATTTTCAGATGATGGATCTTCTTAGAGCTTTTAACTGAAGCCTTCATATTCCAACTATGTTATTCAAACAAACTGTTCAAATGGCTGAAGATTTTGTTCAACATTGCAAAATTAAGTTCTGACAACTTGATTTGCTACGGCAAATTAAGCTGAAGAAATCAGCTATGGCAAATCAATGAAATCAAAATTACAATGTCTCTTCGCGACAATTCTTCTTTCAGATGAACGGCTGAATCCTCCAACACCTGCTTCTCCAGAATCAACATTTCTTCCTTCTTTTTTGAAGCCTCTATATCCCTTTGGAGAGTCTAAAAGAAATTGTGATTCATTTGTGTTGTGTTCATAACAAATGAATTGATGATTCGCACACACGATTAATACTTATTGATGCTAATGTCATTAACACCACGGCAATGACTTCAGGTGATATGACAGTTAACGCTTGAAAGCAAGACAAATTTAATGAAAAGTTCGGTTTCCTCACATTAATTTCAGCCTTCAGATTTTGCAGTTGTTGATCTTGCTGAGCCAACTGCGCCTCATGATCAACTCCGAGGTCACGGACAACCGTCTGCAAATTCGACAGCGCTTTCTGCGTGTCGGCCAGAGTTCGTTCACGAACCACCAACAATTTTGATGCTTCTTCTTTTTGCTGTCGCAAACGATCGATCTCATCAGACAACTGACCGATCTGTTGCTGTAACGTAACAACAGAGTAGAAGGCGATTAAATATCCGTTCGGAGCTGAGAAGATGATTAAATATCATCGATTACGTCTGGCACAACAGAGATGATGACAATCAGTATTGTTGGGAAAAAGTTATAAGGTTGCAAGAAATACTCAAACCTTCTTCTGGTATTATTAATTTCTCGACGGTACGTGGGAATATGGATGAATATATTTACACTTTGCAGAATATTATGACAAGGCGAGTTTATCATTCTAAACAATATTTCTTCTTCGAACTTTTATACAATTTCAAAATGACATGGCACTATGAATGCGATTTCAGATCAATGCCAAACCGTCCGAGTAATCACTCAAAATTATCGATCAATCAGCATCGAATCTATTCAAACTTTGCGATCAGTCTATCAACTACTACTGATATTCATCGAAAGGAACTTTTCGGCAGAGGAAGGACTTCGGAATGATTCGTCTAGGAGATCACAACCAAAAATTCCGGGAGCAAAATGAAGTGAAATAATACTCGTTCGACATTCCACTACCCGAAGACCCTATTACTAGAATAACATTGTCAAACGAGATGACCTCTTGGGACAACATATTTGCTTCAGCTGTCCTATACAATAAGTTATGGAAGCAACCGAACCAAAACATAACAAATCAAGAATATGAAAATTTCTTTATGAAAATTTCTTGCAACTGTTGATGAATATGAATATGAAATTTTGAAATTTTTGAACACTATGAAAATATGAATTTTCCGAATCAGATACTCATATTTCTTGTATGAAACAAAATGAAAATTTGATATGAATAATATGAAGCCGTCAAATGAGATGATGACCTCTTGGGTATCAATAACAATATGAAAATTTCTTCTTCTCGAATCAGATACTCACTATATTTGTAAATTTGAATATGCAATTAATAAAATTTTGCAGGTTTTGTCGTCGTTTCATTTCGTTGTTCAGTCATAAATGAGTTAGGAAATCAAAATCACTTTCAGAGTCCTCGTAAAAACAGTAACTTCAAATGAAATTTTCAATGGGGACGATGCCGTTTGCCTCTTTATCAAGCTTACAATGGTCTTCTTAGTGACTTTCATTATTTTCTTTTTCCGAGTTCATCTTGCAGTTCCATGCGAATGATGATAATGCAATTATGTTCTACACTTCATGCTACGGCAATCGCCTGATTTACACGTTTTGATTTACAGATCATTTATCTGATGTATGTTTTGGAAAGATTGAAACAAGTCAGAATTCTTAAAGAGCAATAATTACTATCGATTTGACGGCTTAACAAAGCCTTTAACAATTGCAGCCGGGCCTTAGCGACCCAGGTCGTCTCCAATATTATAAAATGATCTAATTGTAAGTCGCGCGCGTTACAAGGAAAGAAGAGTTTTTCCTTTTTTCAAGTTCTGGCTGGGAAAATCATAATGTCACAAAATCTCCTTTCTACAGCTACAGTATTCGTGAGGTTATGAAAGATTGAAGGTTGGCACCGGGCCTCTCAGGCCCAATCGTCGTATGAGAGTTACACCCAGACAACGTTCTGAATGCAATTCTCTTTTGCGAACATTCAACCAATTATTGCTTCAAAATCAGCCACAGAACCTTGCAATGACTCAATCACTAAAGCTGAAAAGAAACACTTGAGATATCTCAGTTACAACCATAATTCAAAGCTGATAAACAATTTCAGTTTCATTGCGAGAAGGGACAATCAATGGTCACTGGAGGCACTGAATTGCTGAATGGAATGAGTGAGAACTTTTCAGACGCTGGATGCTCATCTGGATTTCATAACAAGAGAACAAAAATGATCAGTTGAAATCACCTGATAGTTATTAGACGACTGGATAACCGAATCTTCGGTTGCTTCAGTTTTTTGCTCAAGTTCACGAATCCTTTTCCTCAAATCCGTTTCCCTTTCTTCGGCTATTACGGCTTCTTTTGTGGACGTCTCTTCGATGCTTACCAAATGTTCACGTAATCGATCACATTCACGCAACGACTTATCTCGTGCCTCTTTACAACTAAACAAGTCAGTGAATATTCAACTTGCTATTACATCTAAATAATCGGAATAAATGCTTGTTTAATCTGGATTATCCAGATTATCAGACGCTTCTAACGTTGCTGGTCAGAATGCGTTTTCATTCCGTCCTTACTCTGCCAGGTGTTACCCAGTTCCTTCCTAACATTGTCTTTCCATCTTATTGGAGGTCTCCCGAGTGGTCTTTTTATTTCTCTTGGATACCACTCTGCAACTGCTTGAGTCCATCTGTCATCGTTCATTCTTGCTATGTGGCCAGCCAACCGTGTGATTACAATACCGTCAGTGCTGCTCATTCTCAGTGGGTAATTAATAAATTTTGTCGTACATAAACAACGAAATGAGCTCAAAGATGTGAACGACGAAAATAATGAAGGATCTTATCAAACGATATACCTTGCAATCTGATTTTCCAAATTTTCGATTTGTTGTGAACTTGTCTTCAGTTTCACAGCAATCTCCTCTTTTTCAGTCAATAAAACTTGCAGTTGTGAATGATACTGAACACTTTCGTTATGCTTTTGCTCTACCAATGTCACCAATTCATTGCGTTGGTTTTCCACTTCTGCCAGGGTTGATTTCATCTCAATATAAATAGCATGATATACCATATTTGGAATTTTAAACGATTTTGATCACATTTATCAAATCACAGATTGCAAACTAAAAAACAATAAGATCAATACAAGCGGTGACATAAGGTAGTTGAAGGACATTAATCCGACTGGATAGCACACAAAATTATTTGAACGTGCTCGCACTGGATGAGACAAGATGGGATGAACTCGTAATCATTGTAATGCACTGACGCGATATTTGCAAACAAATAAGTGTATAGAGATTATACTGCAAAACAAATAAATTCATTCAATTAAAATTTACATTCTGTAAGTCATCAGACAACTTGCTGTTATCCAATTTAAATGTATCGCATTTCTCTTCAGCCACTTTCAGCGACTGCTGCAAAGTTGAGATTTCTTCTCTCATTTTCTCCACCTCTTCCATGTTCACCTATAAATATCGTCAGTTTCGTGAAGAAGACTCGATCTGTTCTCAAAACCATCGGAATTTAATCACTATTATTGTCGTTATCATAATGACAAATAATGATCTTCCGATCGAATCATTACAAACAGGTCACTGAGGATAATGTCCAGGGACTCTTCACATCAAGAAACGTACCACTGGGACGGTATTCAGATGCCGTAAACTACTTTTTGAATCTACCAACTCGCTATTCAACGACTCGATACGCTTCAGCATCTGGAAAAGCAAAAGGTTTTCAAGTATCTCTAAATATTCTGAAGATATCTGCTACACTGCATCGGTACAGAAAGAGAACAACGTAATCGAAACTCTTTAATACCGCATTTGTCCGAATGTAAATTAAGTTATATTCTGTGAACTCAATTATAAATTAACAACAAAATCGAAGATGCAGATGAAATGATGAATTTGAACAAATATCTGTAACGATCCATATCGTTAGCACTTTGTGAGCTAACCGGCTAGCTTCTGGATGCAACCAGCAAAAAAATTCTTTGAAAGAAAACTCGATGGCACCGAATTACAATGCTCCTTGAGAGGATTATACATTCATCATAAGGAGCATTCTTATGGCCAACTTTATGGATTTACCTCAACTTTTTCCTCCTTAATCTTAGCTAATTCTTCTTTGCACGACCGTTGCGATTCTGATGCTGACTTGAGCGATTTCCGTTCCTGGAAACAAAATGCGAAATTCAGTGCGAAATGACCGAGAGTGGAAACGACCATTCCGGTGGCGATCCACTATGACCTGTTACCCACCTTAAGCAGTTGTTCTTCTAACGCCTCAACGCGCCCATCGAGCGAACGTTTTTCTTCACTTAGTTCGTGCAATTGCTCCTCGTACTAAATCAATAACACTGATTATTTTCGTGATCACATTAAAGATCTTCTCATTTTTCCATCACACCATCCATCAACTGATTCTAACGATGAAAGATCCTCCTTACAAACACACGGTAATGATCATTCGATAAAAAATTCAGACAGTATTATTTCAGCCAATTTTTTAAACGACTCAACGCTNNNNTCCATCAACTGATTCTAACGATGTAAGATCCTCCTTACAAACACACGGTAATGATCATTCGATAAAAAATTCAGACAGTATTATTTCAGCCAATTTTTTAAACGACTCAACGCTCGTCAATGGAATGAGAAACAGAAAGAGCTAGGGAGAAATAATGAGGTAAACTGCAACTCAAAGACTACATTTGAATCGAACCGTCTCTTCGTTGAAGATATACCTATCTGTATGCGATCCAAGTTTCGGAAACTACCACAAACCACCAAATCAGACTAAACCTATGTTGAATTCTTGATAGGACTATGTTAAAATCCGATGGAGATTCCTAGAAAAATTACCTGGTATTTTTGAGTGCTTAGTTCATCTTGATGATGCTTCTCGTTCTCGGCCAAACGCTTCTTCAGCTCGTCGATTTCGGCTAATTTTTCTTCGTCATGTGAATGCGATACCGATTCAGATTCTTTCAAAAGACTTGCCAGCTTAAAATTGATCAAAATTTCGAATGCAGATCGCTGACATGCCAGAATCAAAGATGTCAATCAAAAATTTTCCAGCACCTTCATATTTTCATCTTTCAGCTCATCCATCTTGCGTGTTGATTCTTCTAATTGTTCTCTCACTTGTATCAGATTTCTTTCCATCTCCAACTTTTCGCAATCGATTTTATTTGCCTATAAATTAAAAGCTAAAATATGCATTCGCTGGATGGATATCGCAATTCAATTGTGAATTTACAAGTGCACAAATTTGCAGTCGTATCGAAGAAACAAGACGACGAATGGATTCAAGTTATCAATCAGAATTACGAACTCGCTCGCGCATTTCACTGAAGGCATCTGCTTGAGTCTGTTGCTGTAACTGTAGCGCATTTGTTTGAGCCATCAATTCCTCAATATACGTTTGACGTAACTCGAACTGAAATTCGTTATTAAGCACTCATCATACGTAAATATCAGAAATAAACGTAAAGAACACATGTCTTTACCACTATTCACGACCTTAACATTATTGTTGATAATATCAGCATTAATATTCGCACTAATCACCACCAAAACACATCGTAAATTCAATAAAATACAACAGCAACATCTTGATTCCTCATTCTCTGCGTTCATTCCTCACTTCTGCGTTCAATATTCATAAGAATACACGGTGAAGGCGTACAGCAAATCAGCACAGCATTAAATTTTAACCTCTTTCTCAATTTCGCATTTTTGTCTTCGTAATTCCTCACACTCTTCAGTCTTTTCAGTGACCATCTCCAGTGCTTCTTTGAGCTCTTCGACCGATGGATTGTTTCCGTTCTGGGTGCTGGTGGATGACACGTTTGCGGCAACCACCGTTGATGCATCCCAGTCAGTCATCTGAATGCACTCATTTAAATCGTTTCTGCTCTCTGCCATCTCTTCTGCCTAAGAACAATTTCAATTCTCGAAAATTCTTTGTTCAAAACAACATGAAGAGGGTGAGCAATATCCAACAGCAATCGCTCTTCAATCACTAAAGAATACACATTCTATCGTGTGATAACAACAGAGATACAAAATGCTCAGTGATTTGAAAACAATCAGAATCCTAACCGTAAACAAGAAACAACTTCATCCTGTCAAACTACTGAATATAAATGAATAACTTCATTTAATTCTCATAACGATTCTATAAGAATTATTCTAAATTTCGATCTCCTCAATATCACAAAAATATATTCTCGAGTAATACGCAGTTAACTTATTAACTGACTGATCAACAATTTCACTGATATCAGCGAAAGACAAAATCGAACAACTAAATACTTTTTCCCATCCACTATTCGAATCAGTCGTTCCCTCCTCACTGCTTCCAGTTTGTACGGTTTCGGTTTTCATTTCCATGAATTCGTAACTTGCTCCGCCTTCGTTCGTGCCACTCCGATACCGTTGCAACGCTGATTCTGTTTCCGTACAACGCGTTCGACATTCGTCCAACGCTTTCTGTGCACTATCTCGTTCATCCGCTATCGCAACCAATTCCTTCTTCCATATATTTTCCTGAAAAATATCATTCTAACAAATATCCCACATATCATCTGATACTTTCTGCAGTCGATGGGATTCTCAATTCCTCGCTTAGGCTCGGTTTTTCGCAACTTCTCTTATTTTGTATTAACACTCTAGCACGACTACAGGTAAAAACATTCAAAATTTGAAAGCAAATTATTTGAAATTTCGTGAAATTTGCAAAATCAATAATGTGAAATGCTGTTCTATGTCAAAATTTTTGAGAAGTTAAATGGAAGAACACAGAAAATAATCATTCGAACATCCAGAAAATCTGATATCACTGCACCTAGATGATATCTTATCATCAAATGATCTCTGAAAGCAAACGCATTTTTACTTTTTCTCTGTGTTCCATTTGAAGTTGTATAAACTTATCACGAAGCGATTTCAGTTCCACATCACTTCTTTCCAGCATTTCACGGATATCAATGAATTTGTCCAGATTTCTGCCCATTGCCATGTTGTCTCGAGCCAATCTTTCGTTTGATTCCCTTCAATTAATTTGTTGAGACTATGACTCTTACATAGAATAATCAAATCAAAAGCGACCCTAACGTTCAGTCGCTCCTATGTCATTAAGATCAACATAACTAAATTGACATGCAGGATGAACGTTGTGATCAAACAAATGAGATAAACTGATGCGCGTTAAAGCGATGTGCGTAGAGAGATGAATGCATGAACCTTAAACTATTAAGTTCCAAGTCAATCGCACCGACTGCGGTACGAAATCGAGAAACATCTGAGCGAAGACGTTCGCGTTCATCCTTCGACGACTCCAATTCCATACGCAGTCTTTCCACTTCATCCTGACAACTCATTCAAATCATTTCACTTAATCACTGAATCGACAACACATTGTGATAATGCAACATCACTGCACAATCGGCAAAAGTTTAATACGTAACGGAAATGAAAATGCAATAATTACAAAATTATTATACTTTGCAAACGAATGCAATTTTTGTTCCACAATGAATTCTGCATCAACAATCGAGCACTGAAGCATTCAGCTCTCAATAAGTACAGTTGTTTCATTGCGCTAAGTGAATCATTTCGAAATTTGGAGTTGAAATTCTTCGCTGTCAAATGAAAAGTTCTAGCTGGCCCTAATTCTAACGATACGATACAATTCTTGTTACATACTGGCTGGCGGAATCAAAGAAGTGAATTACTAACTGATGGCGTTCCGCTGGATGGTCTGAAATTAGAAGCTTCAAATGATTGTCGAAGTCTTTCGAAGTCGTTTGTTAGTTTCTCTAATTGTTGCACGGTTTCAGCGTTCTCCGCTTTACAAAGCTCATATCGTTCTTCATATTCGATCAAATTCGCTTTTAACGCATCTGAAACAGAATCAAACACTGACTCATTCTCATTCCAAATGACAATGCAAATCGATTTACGAAAGCAATTCTTTGTGACGCTTTGTTCGTGAACGCACACAATGCGAAAACGAACCAATACGATCGGTGAGGTCACGATTCGATATGAGCACTGAGCCGTGTTCGGCTTTATGGTTTTCGAACTCCTCGTTCAGATCATTATATGCCATCGTCAACTCGTTATTCTCACGCCTGACACAAATTTTTTAAATCATTCCCTCCGTGCAAATCTGTCAACATTTCAACAGTTTTGTTTTGTTTACAACAATCTATTTTACATGAATACGAAACAAAAGCAACTTAGAGATGACACATCCGAGAACCTGAGCTTTTCCAACTCTTTATCCTTGTCTGAACTGTTTTCATCCGACGCAGTACTGAATTCCGGGGTCAGTACTGAGATTGTCTGTGCGTTCTCAATACTCAAACGACGACTGGAGCGCATCGAAGACGAACAAGGCACTGCATCGAAGGGCAATCGTTCAGTTTCTTCAGCCTTCTCTCCCGGCACCAATCTTCAAAAAATACGGTAAACAATAATCGAATACTTTCACCGATTTTTGGAGAAGAGCGAAATGAAATTCAGTTGGTGTATGGCAAGAGGCGAGCAAGCAAATATCATCCATCTCAATCTTATCAACGCACAACGAACCTATCTTCGTCTAATTTCGCTTCTTTTTCGTATTTGTCTCGCAAGGAATGGATTTGTGCATTCGCCGAATCCAACTTTACGATCAATTTTTCCACTTCTCCACTGTAAAAATGTTTCGAAATTATACAATATTAAAAGATTAGAATATATATCGGAAGATGTCGCAATCGATAAAATATCGCAAGATGAAGAAATATGAAGGATTACTTCGATTCGTGCAACTCTTCGCTACAGTTTTTCAGTTGCATTCTGAGACTTTCATTCTCGTCTCTGATATTCTGCAACTGATCGTTGAGCACCGAATCAACAGCTTGCATGGCAAGTCTGTCCACTTCATCAGACATTTCCTTATTCTTCATTCTCTCCTTATTCAACTGAAAATTTCTTGCTTATCTCTACAAATCAACACAGCCCAATTTAGAATCGAAAACACTGATTTCATAACTGCGTCGAAAGGAGAGATGTAAAAATCTGAATTCACTATAATCATGATTCAAAAGAACAAATACCTCCTTTGTGATAGTTTCTAATTTCTGCTTCAAATCTTTGTGCTCCTTCTGAAGATGCTCCAATGCCGGATCTTCCTCGACCGTGAACGTCGGTAGCGACAAGTTATCCACATCATCCCACGCCTGAAAACTGGCGTTTACTGCTGAGAAATACTTCACAAATAGACTTTAGAAATCGAATATGTTAGTTAGCTAATAGCCACACAAGGAAATGCTTGGATTGATGAAATCAATTCATGATTTTTCGATGATCAAATCAATGGAACTCCGTCAAACAGATGTACTATGAAAGATCAGAAAGTTAAAAAGAATTCGCGATTAATACAACGATTATAAGCTGAATATTATATTCGCCTTCAATGAATTTATTTCATTGCAATCAGTTTAACTAACTAAATACAATCATTTAAATTATCGGACGAACATTTTGCCAATCATCTGATTCTGGTGTTTTTGATTGCTGGGCAGTAGGATTGAGTGTTTGTTGAGCGTGCGTTTGAGATGCTTTCAACTGAACGTACTACATTTCAATAAGGCATTACTGCATTTCAAAAAACATATACGACTGATTAAGCCTTCACATCTTTAACACATCAGTGCGATATGCTTGAGGAATCACAGCCCAATAAGTAATGAAAATTCCAATGTCTAAATACGAAGTTCAACTATCCATATTGGATTCAGAGACATCCCTAAGGGGTGTGAAACGAGGATTTCGAGAAGGGGTAATTCTTCATAGAATGCTGATAATTTCAGTGATAATAACGAATGAATGGGAATCATAAAAAGTGAAAAATACGAAGCAAATGATTTCAGTCGAGATGCGAAGGTCAATTCAAGGAGTTCATTTGTAACAAATACAATTGGAAATAACATAAATATGATATTGAATTTACAGTAAATATTTCATACTAAGAAGCAATCACTTACATGGCTATTAAATATCAATATGAATAATGACTACAGTACCTGATGACTGACTTGACTGAATTTCGATTCATATTCACTTCGTAAATGTGCAATGTTCTCGTTATGCGCCAGCACGAGTGCGGCCATCTCAGCTTCTGATTTGCTCTTCTGTTCACCCAACTTACATTCCAATTCAGCTATCTAAATTCCAAATGAAATGTTTATGAGAATGCATTCCATCACAATGTTTGGTATCTCGAATGCTTGACATCTGCTTACAAAATCGATTGAAGTTGCATGCAAAAGTTTTCTGCGAATGCCGTTTGCAGTAAATATTGTCAATGAAAGCATAAAGCATTCGATCAAATGAACACAAATACCCGTTTAGAGTGATCGGCATTCAGTGACTCATTAACGATTCTCTTCCAGTGCGCTACCTCTTTCCTGAGCTCTTCGATTTGATCTTTCAAACGTTCGGTTCTCTTATTGGAATCCGTCAATAAGCCATCTTCATCATCCTCATCTAACAGCACCACACTCGAATCGTTTGAGTGTCGTAATCGTTCTATATCAACCTCAAATTTACTCCTCTCTCAGAAGGTCATATTCACTTCTCGTGCCTCGGACCAAAATATCACCAGTTCAAATAATTCCTCGATGACATTTGTTTTCACATGCATTTTTACTTCATATTCGCATCGATTAAATGAACAAATACTCATTCGAATTGAATATTCATTCAAAAATTAGACTAAGAACGAATTTGATGCTGACGGATTGCAAAGATATGAAACGAAGACAATTTTGAAATCATATAAAGATTAACTGCTGATGCGAAAAGAGTGTGCAAAAATTTAAGTGCTCACAATAAAATTCAGAAGGACTATTTGTACACGAATATGAGTCTGTGTGGGTGAATTCTTGCTGTGTCAATTTCGAAACATCAATCAAAAATGAAAACCTGCAGAGAACGGATTTGTGAGTCACGATTCTCGATTATGTGATTGTATTTTGTTGTGACTGCATCAATTTCGACGTTTTTCGCGAATAACTGCTCTTCCAAATCGTTTATTTTCTTCACTTGTTCTTGACCTTTTCTCTGCTCATTTGCCAACTGGCTTTCTGCTTCCGTTAATTTCTTTGTGATCACCTCAAATGATCGCGATATGAGGGCAACAACACCATCGACAATAGCCGCAAAAAAAATCCAAACGATCTACTAATGCTGTCAAACCAATCAACTTATAAAAGCCATCTTCACAATGTATCTATCTCGGCCGACGGTATCATGTAAATGTTAACGTTTATCATGCTTTTACCCTTTACATTCAAGGTGATTCAGATCAATGATTGTGATTCAGATCAATGACTGTGATTCAGATCAATGACTGTGATTCAGATCAATGTTCAAAGTGATTCAGATCAATGACTTGAAAAAGATTCTGAATCGAGCAGAATTTTGCTTGAAATGTATGACTGGTTCCTAAATTGCCCAGTAAATTAATCACAATAACGGTTACTTGAAGTTCCGATTCGGGATCACTCGTTTCCTCGGTGGCTTCATTCAGCACTTCAGAGGCAAGCTCGGTGAGCTGACCTTGCAGATTACGTAACCATCCGCTCATCTTGAATGAATTCGTTCGAACAATAATTATTCAAAAATACAAATCTTGCGTCAATTATTCAATTTTATACACGTCCACTAAACAGTTGTCGGATTAAACGGATGTGCACATTGTACGGAAACAATCAAATCCTTAAGAAATACACTGCCATCGGCATATCGCCAAACGGATAACGTTGTGCCATTTTATTGTGATGTTTATGTATGCTTGGAAATCGCACGGCTAATTCTGTCAAATGGTAAAGTGGTTAACGCGTAGCACTGTGTACTGGTACGTCGGTGGGAACGGGGAATTCCGGAGACCACGTTCCGATATTTGTGGAGGTGACTGCATTTCCCGGGTTGCTAGCTGCAAATTTTTCCTCCGACTTCCCTTGTCCCTAACCTTTCCGGAGTTGTCGAGTTCCGTGAGGTTTTTTGGAGAATCTTCCGGATTGCCCGATTTCAAAGTGTCAGAAACGTGAACTTGAGTCGATCTCACCGGAAGGGTTTGCATGTTTCATGTGCTACTGTAGTCCCACGGGAGAACTGTGAGAATTTTAAAGTTTAACCCTCAGGAAGACTTCAAACTGTTTGGCTCAGTTCAGACTTAATGACTTGCACAATAACGAGATCCTCCAATGGTATCGTTTGACAGGTGGGGAAGTTCGAGGTCTGATATTTGACCTGGGTTTGAGGACTGAATTTCGAATGGTTCGGAACATGTTCTTCGAAAATTATAGCAATTTGAATGTTCAACAACGATTTCATGAACATGTACACATCGCGATGGTCCACTTGATAACATGCTTTTATCCGTATCTAGGTGCTCTTCATAAACTCGCAAGTTTTGGAAATAGTTCCGTAATCAGCTCGACTATTTACTTCAGAATCATTCTATCAATGTTAAAAGATAACATTATCAAGTTCCGTTCATTATATCTCAACTTCTTCTTCTATCCTGGCGAAACACTACAGTAACCTCAATTTTATCCGACTTCAATTTTCAGTTGATTATCATAACTTGAAAATCTGAAATAATTACAATGATAATGTTAATAATTCACTCGATTAAACGTATCATCTGAAGATCGGTATTCTCACGCCACAATTCCTCATTCGTGGCAATATTTCAGAAACAAATATCTCCACAAAACCGACAATTATCATAACAGTAAATAATGTCGATGCCCATAGTGCTGCTGATATTCAAATTTAATAATTCGAATCCTCTTGCTGCAGAATTTCATTTATTTATTCAGATTTCTTTCATTTGATGATCATTAGTCCAGTTGAGTGTATGGATGGATGCTTTCAGATTCAGTTCGGTGCAAAGGTATAACAACAGACATCAGAAAGTATAAATATTATCACATGAACATATTTACAAGTTCGGAATCACAGTTACATATTCAATAGTAAGGTGACAGCAACACTCAAATAAATAAATCGTATATAACGATTTAAGATTTTCCGAGATAGAATCAAATACAGGATGAACCAATTGAATGATCTATTCTTCGAAATATGTCTCTGCGAAAAAAAATCGCACAAACAGGATTTAGAGGTCCACAGTGTGACTGACTATACCGTGAGTTCATCGAGTGAATGAACTCACCGGATAGTTACATTCGGAAAAAACTTTATTTGAGCCTGAATAACGGATAAGTGGAACGGATCCTAACGAAAAGTCGAGTCAGACAAAAAATTTGCTCTATTATTACAATTGAATTTGACTTAGAAATAAAATAAAAGTGATTCAATTTCGTCATCCGTCGTGGCATCACCCCAATGAGCGATTAATAGATTACTGACAACATTTGATGAATGTTTATGTGCCCATATCGATGAAAATACGGCACTTATCAACAGGTAAACGTGAATTATCTGGAATTGTGATTGATTATTAATGTAGATCAACTATGAGATGAGACATTATTCGTATTAGTATTGGTGTGATCAGTGATATCTCGGAGAATGCCGAACAATTTCTCAGTCTATTCTCCTGGTCGGTTTCGATGTGGTCAATCACTTTCAAATGCAGGGGTAAGTGCGTGAGTGTTTCATTGATAGTTCTATGTATAATTAAGATCAGTCATGGTATTATTCATAAGCACAATAGCAATACTGATGTTAATATCGCTATTACTATTGTTAGTATTGTTGCTATTAAAAATAGTAAGAAAATGGAAATGAAACTAACGAAAATCGACGATCGATCCTTGAATGGATCGATTTGTGAGTGTCTCAGTAGAATATTGATTGAGGAGATTGAGTATAAGATTGTTGCACAAACAGATAAAGTTATATCCTACAAAAGACAATTCGTCTTAAACGCAAAATCAGAATCATTCCTTGGGAAGCACCGTCATACTTGTTATATCCTTGGAGTATATGAATCATTGCGGAGGAAGTTGGAAATGTTGATAGTTTAGAACTTGTCATTCAAAATTGTTGAATTAATCTTACCCTTTAACACAACACAATCTTTTATCCATTTGGAATTTTCTGCTTCAATGCATTTACGTGAAATTTTGTCAGGAATTTATCCTCAAAATAACTCTTAAAACTGGTGAATGAACGAAAAATCGACAAACGAACAAACCACTTTTTTCAAGAAAAACTTCTGCACGGTAAACCAAAGCGATGCGATTGTAACGAATAAAGCGATTAGATCGCATATGCATATCGTAAATCCATTTCGATCATTTAACATCGACGGATAACGTCTATTGATCTCGATCTCTATCAGAATTGTTACACCCTAAAACCGTCCAGCAATCAGCCAGTAGGCTTTCAACAAAAAAACTTCATGGAGATGTCATCACCATACTACTTCCATCTACTGTTCGACTAAATTTTATGTAATCCAAATTGATTACTGACTTAAGCAGCAGAATTTTTAATCATCGTCAGTCTACGACGAGGCTCGCATTACTTCGATGCTTGCAAATGTTATCAAAGTGAATATTTGGATTCGTAATATCCTTGGAATAAAATTTGATAAAAGAGTAAATTTATGTGAACTGCGAAATGAATATTCACTCACCACGTTGAAACATTTTGCTACGGTTAGCGGTGTGAAAGGATAAATGAGAAGATATTTTAGTGGAGGTGACATTTTAACGATTTTTGATTTTATTAGTGCTATTAACAGCCAATAAAAACAGTAATGATGCTATCAATATCCTGTCAGATATTGCAATTACACCAACGCATTGATAATCAATCGCATGGCATGATTTCAGTGAGCCATTGCTGCAATAATCAGCGAATAATTCAAAAAATTACCAACTATTACAGGCAGTTAATAATAAACTTTAATTCGCAGATCAGTATTGTTGAACAAAAATGGAACAACGACTGATTCGAATCAATAATCGATAACGATCACAACGATCCAATCGAAACTGTACGGGCGCTGCTGATTACATAATTCGCATACTGCATGTATCGTGCATCCATCCACACATCCATCCATCCAACACCGTCATCATCCACATTATACCATAATAATCTGCTATTGCAGGTGTATTAAATGCAAATAAAAATTACACGTATTGTGTGTGCGATTTGCAATGCAAACATGAATTTCGTCGCATTTCTCATTGTAATTTACAGATGATGACTCTTGCATTGCATTATATCACGCTTCTGTCAATCGTCGCTTCTTCCACTCATTCTTCCCAAATCATTCAATTTCTATCAAGCTTGCCAGTGCTCATTGACTAACTGTTCATTATTCATTCATTGTGCACAAATTTAATGTTTTTGAGGGGTTCACGAGGTTGTTTTTGAAGCTGACGGACGTTTTTTGCTATTAATCGTAAGTGATGGAAACATTTTCACAATTTTAAATTACATCTTTGCAGATGATTAGAGATGATTGTGATCGGATGGTTGTTCGGATCTGATTGAAACGGTAGTTGAGGACAAACGAATTGGGAGAATTCAGGAAGAATTATCAAGTAATTTCTTTTACCAGTCAACGAATACACTTGTTCTCGAAAAAGGTGGGACGGGAATAAACAAAAATTACGTTTGTTAAACAGAAGTGCCTTCAATGCGAACAACTGCTATCTTTAATTCATAATTTATGTCAGAGTCATATTGGATTGCCCATTGAATAATTGAATAAGAATCGAAATTTCATGCCGTTCAGTCGAATACTTTCATAAACATCTTCGCTGTTTTACCACGAGATTGAACGTGAACGGTTTATATTCCATCAAAATGAGTACAGTTCAAAGTAAAAATGTCACCACAGCACAAACAAAAAACAACGAATATAATGAAGATCATTTTCCAAAATCATTTCAAGAAGACAGTTTCGCTTTCTTCGCTAGAATCTCATTATCAGTCGCCAGCTCACCACAAGCCAATTCCATCTTATAGTTTTTGGTAACCAATTCGACCCATTTACCCTCCAATTCCTTCAACTTTCGACCAGCTTCCATCTGATTATCTCGTCGACGTGCGTGAATGTTCATTACATCTTCTCGCATCTACAAACTCATTTGAAGGCAATCTGTTGAAATATCAACCTTATATGTAACTGGTAAAATAAGATCCAACCTTCCGTAACTCTTTCTCGCCATTGTGCAGCACACACTCAAGATTCTTATTGAAACGAAGCATTGTCTCGGGTGTGTATTCTTCCATCAATTGCAAATTCAGATTACGCAAACGGAGGTGTTCATTTTGTGCTGCTGCATTAGAGATCGCCTTAAATTACTTTCATCACTTTTTCGAGAATCGAACAACTATCTGTAAGGTGTTAGTTGAGTCTCTCAACTCGAATATGTTCAACCCAATTGCTTATTGTGAAGCGAGCAAATACCTTTCGCCATGAGGTTTTATCGCCTTGTCGACCGGTAGTTGACGGGCATGACAGCTCACATCTTGACATATCCAACTTCGGCATTTCCTGAACTGCGATACATTTGAACCAATCAAATTTCCGAGTCAAATGCATAAATTTCATTTATTATATCTCATAGCTGACATTACAAAATGCCAATAACAATGATTAAGTTCCCTCGATAAAGCGGAGAAACAGCTGAATGAATGACCTGTTTTTTGGCCATTCTTGCATTCTCCTTGAGCATGCAAGGCGTCAAGAAAGCGTCCAGGTCCGGTGCAGGCAAGAAACGAAGATAGTTTTTTGTTGGTCTGAACGTGCGACATTCATTTTCAACCATCTGCAGGGCCATTTGCCGGTCGGCTTCCGTATAATCGGTATCCAAGTATGGCAACGCATCCACCAAAACACCAGAATCCGCTTCATTCTCTGATAAGGCCGTCCCTTCTGAAGCGTTCGACGGCAACGCTAGCTTTGTTTGACCGTTTCTTTCAGTCATGATCGTCCAAATAAATGGCAAATAAATGAGATTAAGGTAAGAATCACACGAGGTAGCTGCCGAGGATGACTGCTGCAAGAAATATGGTTAAGAAAAGTTATCGCTCGGCTTGGTTGAAGGTTTTAAGTTAACATTTCTCGCCAGCACCATCATCTGCTGTCAGCTTAATTCGTTTGAATGATTGCTCAATAAAAAATACGATGCTTAGCACATTGCAATTTGATCATTTCAAAAAACCGACCCACTCTCATATTGCTACACGAAATCCGTTGATTTAAGTGGCTAACGCATGCACAACCCAACGTTCATTTACATGTTCTCATACTGAATAAAGCAAAATGCAATAATATTTTAAGAACTGTCTATTAATCAAATTCAACGCAGAAATACATCCGCTTTGCACTTGTAAATGAAAATGGTGAGAACTAATTAAATGTGGAAATCCATTTAAGTGTAAGCTGAACAACTACAAACTGATGAAGAAATTATATGAAGCAACTATATCAAACTTCAAAATTTGGGGTATCATCTCAACAAAATATACCAAAAATTACAATTCAAGTAGAATCAATCTGGGCTATCAAAGGTACCCATTCTTGTCACCGATAAAAACAGTTAAACGCTAAATAAGGGGTTCTGGAAAATTTATTTATTCAATCACGACTGCGTTCAATTTGACAATATTAAATTTGCAACAAAACAAAACAAACCAAAAAATAAACCCAAATCAAAGAAGAGAATTCAGAGATTTAGAAGAAAACGATGAAGAAATTTTCATACTGATGAAGAAAACAATTTTTTGAGAAAAATTTCGTTTCAAAATAAAATTTTAAAAATAATAATAATAAATCAAATCGGATAATTGAATATATATTGAAATATCAATGAGCAAACGTAACGAGTAGGGAAAATATTTGGAAACAAAATGAAAAAAAACAAAATCGCAAAAACAATGCAATTAATAGTAAAACGAAGAATCAATTGGAAATAAATAATTGTTCTATGTATAAATGTATAATACGTACGTTTAACGTACAAATACGATAAATTACAAAAATTGAACACTTCTCTATTATAGCAACTAGAAAAATTGATGCAATTTAATACAAACAAATGCAAATATTCCCAGAAATGAGAATATCTCCGAAATATTTGCCTTCTTCTGACCGCAAATCCGGTTCCTGTCGTCAATCTCACGGTGTCCCGCATTACGAATCTCTCATATTGGTGAGCCGAACAAATGATCATTGAAAGTTAAGTATTATCACGAAGAAACGCGCGAATAAATATTCTTAAAAATTATCGGACAATAGAATTACAATCTTGAATATAACCAACAGCAAACAATATAAGATTCGAGCTTCATAGTCAAAACACGTTTTGAAATGAAAATATTTTCAATGAACGTAAACTAAGAAACTGGCTCCGCTCACTCGATGGCCTCATAATTCGATCGGAAATAATGAAGCACTCAAGATTGCCGTTTTCGATTTCGTTCTGTCCTGATTAAACTATGCAAAGAAAATTTATGAAATATTCGACTAAAAATGAACGAGAAAACCATAATTCTAAAATTCAATTCTCAAAGTGTTTCAGCTCTCAAACGAAACTAACAGGATGACTTCATGCAATCTTGTCTCAACCAAAACTGTTCAATTTTTAAAGACGAACCTCAACAAGTACGTCTACAAACTTATAGAGCACAACAACAAAAATCGCATATTGTTGACCAATTGAAAAAGAATAGATTGAACGCGGAAAAATATTCCACAAGAACGCGACACAATTCCAACGATCAAACCGAATATTGATGCAGATTCGAAGCAAAACAATGAACAATTTTCACAAAAAGACGATAGCAAAGCCAATTTAAAACAAAACGATGTTCAATGAATACATAAATTAAATCAAATGAATTAAGATATTAAGTGCATAAAAAGTGTCACGCAAAAAACCTCCCATCACACACTCTGACCACAATATACAAACGTCTTCGAATAATAAATATCTATTTGCATCATCTTCTATCAGGATTAGAGTCGTATAATATGGATGAAAAATTAATTACAATGAAGCGATGTGCAACAACACAACAATAACAAGACAACTACAAATATCACTTTCAATGCATCAAGGGTATTTTCTTCGTTACTATTACTGTTCCTACCATCAATACTTCCGATATTTGATAGGACCAAACCTAGATGAACCTGACAATGAGCATTTTATCAGCTCTTCATAATCACTTCAAAAAATTCAGTCTTGCAACAAATTCCATAATAATTCTTCAAAATCAATCTTCCAAATAAAATTCTAATGAAATGAATATTGCTTATTCATTTTGTAAACCGCCATGAATATGCATAAATCTATCCGAATTGTACTCTTGCAACATTTGATCTGTCAGAATACCCATCACAAACGTAAAAATCAGCAAATCAACAATTACAACTGCTACGTTATCTAAAAAGCAATCTTATACCACTTGTTATATATCATATTATGAGATATTCAATTTAACACAATGATTCAATGAAAAATATTGAGAATTAATATCAAGACAATTTTTCAGAAGATGATAAAGAAACTACGAGTTATCAAAGTCAAATCGCATTAATTATTACCGTACTCTGAAACAAACTTATTAAGTGCCATTATCACAGCTTATCGATAAGCACAAATTTAGTTTCAACAATGGACAGTAGATTCTACGAATAAATAAATGAACTACATGGTAATGACGCCCGCAAAAGGACTATTCTTGCTTCAGAATTTTCGCTGATATTACTTCGATTCTACTGTTTCTCACTTGAAGAGGCAAGAATTTTCGTTTCCTCATCAGACACTGATACTCGTATTCCAAAACTGAACATCCAATGAATATCACAAGAATGCTTTCATCAACTCCAATTCTCATGAGCATATCACGACCATTTCTGAAGAAAGAACAGACAAGATCTTGACATTCAAACGAAAAACTTCGTAAAAACAAACACAAAACAACAACAAGACGCACAAAAATATAATAGCATTCGAAAGGGATAACAAAAGCAAAACTTAACGAATCGTTTGGCCGTTAGCGTTCAACAGAGAAGAGAATACATCAAAACGAAAATAAAGTCGAGATGAATTACTTTCTTCATATTTGCAAATGAGACATGACAATGTAAAGATCAAAGAAAAACGATAAATACATTAGCATTCGAATACACAACTCACTCATCATCACCGTCACAAACCACAATATATTTCGAGCATGAAATAAGCACTGAAACGAGAGAACATCAAGCAAACAACAACAATTCAACGAACAAATAATATTCATAAAGGACACAAAAACAACCGAATAAACATTGAAGCAATGAGAATTTGAATAAACGCTATAAGCTATCCAGACTTCGATTATCATTTACCTGGTGATAATTGATAGGAGCATTATTGGAAATACGAATATTGATAATAAGAACGATCATAATGACAACAACAACAACAACACAGATGTTCAACAAAAATCACTGCAAATGAAACTTGCGTTGATAATCGCAGAAGCAATAATAATTCAAACAGTTTTTTTTGGACGAAAACATTGGATTAGATCAATCAAAGAAAATCGCACAAAACGGTTAATCATCCCTGAATTCCACTGCTCATTATCTGATTTCTCACAACGCATCAGTCATATATCAACAGTCTCTAAACCACATTTGTTTAAGCAATTAATCAAACCTCCCAAATATCGCTCGGTGTATGTGATTTTGTCGATTCGACAAGCTCTGAAGCACAAAATTTGAAATTACTTCATCCCCAAAAAAAAACTCTTCGAAATGAGTAATGCAAATCATTTGAAACAAAAAATCGTTTGTAGAACTGAGAGCAGAAGTATCGGGATGATCTGAATAGTCTATGAAACTTGCAACTTGTTGCATATGAGAAGAACGTACACACTTAAAACGATGCTCACAAAACAAATTCATATCGCGTGCCACTATTGAGGAAGTAATACTTAAGTAGTTCGAAGAAATTTCTGAACAAATTATTTGAATGAAATTTCTCAAAAAACTGGACTAAATACAAACGTTACTGTCGAATTACAAAAACGAAATCACAAACGAATACAAAAATCAGATTAGCAATAGACTATTGCAAAGACTGAACACATAAATTAAGTACAAATATCAGACGGAAATGTACTCTCACTGACTGAGATAAGAAGAGAAATGGAAATTTTGAAATGACAACAAATATCTTATGAAAAAATAAATAAATGCAATTTTAATAGAAATTGTGATAAATTGATAACGATGAAAACTAATAAAATTTCAAAATCCATAAAATCGAGTGTTCTGGAGAACAAGTTCCCATCAGATCGAAGGGAATCGCTCACTGAACATATTCTTAGCATTACTTCCTAAACACCCAAAATGCAACGTACTCACTGTTCGATTAGCCTAGTGAACACTAAAAACTGCATAACAGCAATTTAGAAAATCTTATGAGAATACCCTGCTCAAATATTACTTTAGCAAGAGGGGAGAAACGAGAACGAGCGAAAAAAACACTGTTAAATCTCAAGAAAAAAAGGATAACAAAAATAATAATAATAAATAATAATAAAAATAATAAAAATGCAAATGAGCATTTCATCAACAAAAAATTTTTACAGTAAATATTACATTACAAAATAGACATCTATAATCGTAAAACAGAAATTACATCTGTTTGGCTTTCGGTAGAGAATAACAACGGGAAACAACAATTTTTAAAAAAAGTAAAAGCATTGATTATAATGGGGTAGAAGGAAAGACGGAAGAAGTTATTCGCTAATTTCAAGAAAAATAAGCAAAAACGGAGGAAAATGAAAGAATAATATCCTTCAATAATATGAAAAAAAACAACTTTTCATCTCACTGTTTTTTCTTTCCAATAACAGACATATTCGTATTAATACGATAATAATTCACAAATTTGCTCATGTATGTATGCATGCAAAATAAATTGACATTATTAATCATCACCCGCACTCCATTTCATTTTCCTTGGAAAAATCAATTTATCTCCTCATCTGACCCTTCTCTTCGATTGCCACTTCTTTATGCTGTCGATTGAATTACCTAAAATCAAAATCTCCTCATTGTTTTGAAACAAACAGATTCACAATTATAACATTTGAATCAATGCGGCTAACATCCATTTGCAAAGACCCTACGGCGTCACTGTGTCGAAGAATTCAAGAGCTAAAATGACCTATTTGCACGCTTTCTACCTATCGACTGCTCAAATCTAACTGGTGAATGCTCAGACTCTAGTAAGAATTCTTTAAGATAACCGCAACATTGCCTCCAATAAATGAGCACATCAACGAATCACCTGTAACGCGGTATTATTAGTCGTAATCTCCTCAATAACAATAATATCACTCGCCGAAGCATCATTTGTCGTTGTCGGTTGTTGCTGATGGTGTTGGGGATTGTTGGCATTGTGCTGATGATTGTTCGCTTGATGGTGTGGATACTGAACTGATGGCGATGGCATTATCAGACTGTTGCTTCCATCGTGGATCATCTTCATCAAAGTCACATTGTTCTGATTGTTGCTCATATTCGAATTCATATTATTGATACTCATATCGGTTGGTGTGTTCATTACGGCTGAGGCGCTGTGTTCATTCTGTTGAACTGGCTGAAGTTCATTCTTATGAGCCATTATAAACTGGTGTTGAAACTGTTGATGATGTTGCAATAACTGTTGTTGTTCTTTGAGCGTATGCTTCAAGTGGTCTTCTTTTAAGAACACGTTATTACCGCGTTCTATACCTATTCCACCGCCCATACCCACCCCTAGACCGGCACCACCCATAGGCACCATACTACCAATACCACCACTCTCTAGACCGCCACCTTCTTTAGCATCATTCGTCATTTTGCGTTTTATTCCTCGACGTTGATTCGGTGTTGATGTATCATTAGTGTTACCCATATCATTATTTTGAGCGATTTGCTTTGCTGCAATTACTGTCACATCTTCAGATGTCGATGGCACTGATATCACTTCGATTACCTGAATTCAATTTATTATTCGGTGTTGATAATCTTCACATAGCATATTTATCAATTATTTAAATTTTGATGGAACTTCAATTTTTTATTAATTGATGTTGTTTGTACATACGCGCAATTGTTACTACTACCTATACGCACTTGTAATTCACAGATAACAGGCAATATTCACACAAATTCAAAATAAGTCGATACATCCAATCAATCTGAAAAGTCGTACCGGATTGAATTTATAAAATTTAGCGTTGGATCGAAGCCGTTCCATCGCAGCCCATTCACGTTTTGAGCAATATGCGCCCTCTTGCTTCGAGCATGCGGCAACCACGGGTCGATTGTTGCGTATCACCGGAAAATAAGACGTCAACTTCCTTTGACTCTACAATAATCATACCCCTATAATGCTTCATTTACGTTGTGAAATCTCTCACATGCTCCTCGAAACAACTGAAAACATTGCAGGTCAGCTCACGAGATCTGAGTCGATAGTTCAATTTAGAAAGGCCACTGAGGTATGGGATACTTTCAAGTTATAGTCCAGTGCGCTGAGCACCAACGTACCGAATGGACTACGATTACGGAGAGCTTAGAAAAATTCATTCAGCTTACTGCAGAACTTCGTTCTCTGGCTTGTTTCTTCGTAGTCCTTTCTACTGAAGTGGATGCACGATTTGGATCCCAGCAACATTCTCGCATGAGTATTTCCTTTAAATGGCACGCATTCATCGAAGCGATATTCATTTGGGATGGACAAATGAAATTCAGATGAATTCGTTTTAGATGAAAACAAATTCACTTCATCTTTTACATTAACTCAAACAATATCACATTCATATGAGATAAAATTACTTCCAGCACAGTTTCGTAAACCATCAGTGCAAGAAATGCACAAAGAAAACAGTATTAGGAATGCTACCGATAAGATTCCAATGACACAGCTGAGAATAATACTACTTGAATCTCTGCAATATTTTAACTGATTAAACCTGTGTTTTTTGCAGGTCAGGCTGTGTTTTTTTGGGCAGCTGTGCTCTTGCATAATCAATAACCAAAGGAACTACATAAACATTGATAGCGTTAGCGATTAGATCCGAATTAGGATTGAACTCGCGAATATCGACTACATTCCTCTCACAACTATATCTCAACTTCCGTCTCACCGCACTATCTGATTCACGAATCGGCACTGCATCTGTTGCATAGGATCTGAATTGAAGTATCGGCAATTAGCATTATCATGTTGAATGTTATTTGCACTGAGGTTATCAGCACCAGTGCTGCATCGATTATCACTGTTCCCTTCGTACATATGAACAACGTCCATTATTGTCGTAAAAACACCACACATCAACAATTTGGCGCATCAAACCGTAAAATCGTTAGATCAGCCGTTACGGCCGTAATAGTTAAACCAATAATCGTAATTAACAGTAACATGGCTGATCAACGGACAATTAAAAACTTACTTGAAACGATCAAGGATTACTTGTGGGTGGTCGTGTTTCATAATATAAAATTCAGAAACAATTTCCAGTGCCGTGACAACCCCAACACCCGGAATACCTTTTTGATAATAATCACAACCCATCATCAATGACATCGCGATTAAACATGACCTTGAAGCATGATCCTCTTTTTGTAAAATTATGATGAAACAATAAGGAACAAGTGCGTTCAAATTATCTACTGCTCTGCGAACATCATTTATGGTGCTTGAAAACAACTGATTTTGCAAAAATTATTGATGCACATTCTTGTCTGAAGGATGATGTATTGCAAATCAAATCAATCTTCTATGTAATCCTAAATTCCGAGTAGTCGGTAACAGAACATAGTCTAATTCAATCACTGCAATGAATTTCGTTTTCTGGTCTTACACCACCGTGATGACACTCCGATGAGGCATAATCGCTTCAAGAAATCAATCTGAACACTTCCCAAAACGTACCGACTAAGACAAAGTTGATCGCTGATATAATCCATCGAGAGAAGTAAAATATTATCATTGATAGTTTTTCCACCCGGACCGAACTCTACCTTGAAAATACATCACAATGAACTTATTCATTCGTGTCAAAATAAACACTAAAAGTGCACGATGAACTGATCAATGCTTCATTGATTTGCCCAAACTTCGAGCACTAAGAAACCGCCAGATAATACTACCCATTCAATGATACAACCAAAAAATCACGAATGAATAGGTGAGTGTGCGTTTTAGAATAACAAACAAGATTATGGTGAAGTAATGATGATATTGCAATCATGTTAAAGCTGATGATGGCGATCTAACGCCGAAACGTCTTACGGTGTTGCTGCATCGTTTGCGCATTATTTCGGTCACTTATTCATCTATTTGCGAGTATCCTTTTACTCCACTATTGTCTAATTGGTTAACCAAAAAAGTCATCTATCTTCACATCAAGTAATCCCTGACAATTTTTCACGAAGTTCATTTGATCTGCATATTTCAACCGGACAGAAGAATTAACTTTCCGTTACTGATCCAGGTGTGTCTGCTCAAGATGATAGCATTTTTTTCGAACTGTAAAAGTTGAATTCTCCGTCTAGTCAAACCGCAAAAATGGGGTAAAATGGGCGAATTTCTCAGGATGCCAAAGATGTGGAAAAAAACTTCCAAAAATATGGATTTCCCATAAATTTCGTTATCAATTTATTTGTGTCGTCTATATCTCTTCCAGCAGCGCATACAATCGCTATTACCGCTCATCTTAGCACCCACTACGCACGTTTGCGCTCGCTGGTTCAATCCAAACACTTCGCTTGAAACGAATGAGAAGCGAATCGATAATTCGCTACTTATCGCGTACTCTCCATTCAGCCATCACCACAAAAAACACTAGTAAAGTTCTTTTTCGCAAACAATAAGATGATGAGATTATTCGAAAGAAGAGTGATGAACGTGAACCAATTGTCGAGTTTATAATAGGCCATATCAAATTTTGATACGGTCAAAAACAAAACTGTTTTCGGTTGAGAATGTAAAAACATTAATTATGGTCTCCAATAAGAATCGTTAAAGTTGATAGTAATAATCGAAATAATAATAACAGTAATGGCAACAACTTCAATGTCAATAGAAATAATGACATTAATAGTAATAAGAATGAAATTAAGATTGATAATCTTGACTGTAACAGCTAGGATGGAACTAAAAATATTGGCAGGTGTTTATGGTCGCGATCACCGTTATCATTATCAGTAGAATCTGTTATGGATTAGCATAAATGTTCCCTATCCGTTTCATGCCACGAATATTGTTCATTCATCCTTTCCACTGATCACTTCATGAAACGATAAAAAAAAACCTAACATTTCAAAAAAAAACAAATCAATAATAAAGCTCCGATTATTACCTGATACAAATTATTACCACCGAATAAAATATAATCAAAATCACGAGTTATACAGCCATGTACAAGTCCACGACGTTCTAGTTGAGCACACTGCGCTTCACCTTCAAGTTTACTGGCCATCCATCGTATTCCCATCACATTCAACAAACACTGAAAGTGGAATTTCTTTGGTAGTTAAACTTCGCTTAGAATTTGGAAATCACTTGTTCAATACAATGAAAATGAATTTTTCTCCAACAGAACAAATTTTGCAATCGTTTTATTGATTTCCCCTATTCATAACGGATAGGTCTCTATCAAATTGTTAAAATTTTTTGCCCCTATTATAGTGAAGTTCAGCACTTTTCGTCGACATTCTGAATGAGTTGGATTGCTTGTTTCACCTTAATTTCATTGATTTTGGTCTGAATTTCCGCCTTGAGCTCCGGTGCCCAAATTCCTGTTCCTTGTTTACGGGCTTTCTTCAGTGGAATGTTTTGACCCTGAACAATTATTAAGTGTATTCGACTAATAGCAACAGTTCAACTGTTCTCATAACAGAACATATACGATCATGAACTCAGCATTGAATTCGCTTCAAATTTCCACCTGACTGCCAATAAAAAAACTCACTCCGGAGTTAACAACAAATTCAGTGATGATTTACGGACTCTCTAGAGCATAAATTGCAAAAAATTGAAACTTCAGTGAAAAGACGTAAATAAACAAATTGACTGAAAATAGATCAGTTGTGACAATGATAAGGCGATAACAGTGATAAAATAACAATAATAGTAAAACAATACGTCTTGTTTGAAACTGTCATCGACGGCATCAAAAACAACGATCGGTTCGATACCTTTCTCGATCAACGACCGACATCGATTATAAAATGTACTGATATGTGGTTTCCGAGCTGTTGAACTGTGTGCTACACTGCCACGCATTACTTCACATAACCATATGTGACCATCTTAAGTTTAACGATCATTAATTTGATCCAGTTCAATGCTGTCTTAGTTTTGCTACATATCGTGAGGATTGGGGCCTGGATGGATCTCATTTCGCAATTTTTGTCGGGATTTTTCTGTTTACATCTGATTACCTTAATCGATTGAGATTGATCGACTATGGTAACAAAACCAACGCAATTCTGGCATGAGCCATCATCGTCCAATTATTCGCACAAACTTCTCGAATGCATTCAAATTACTGAGTTTCAAGACCTTTGGTTAACTAAACGAAAAGGTTTCAATGCAACCAGTCCAACGTTTGCTTGATACAAATATGTTCATCCATCCAATGACCGGTGATGATCTCGCTTACATCTGTTGTCCCTCATATAATGGCATGAGGTAAGAAATCAAGGAATATCAGCTGAATTTCAAGAAGGTGTCTGAGACGTCAAGTGATCGAAAGTGCTATATTCAACACAAATAAAGATTTATTTTCGAGTGGACGATAGACTACAGTACTTCAATGATGATTACTTGCTGAAATTGAGGGTTTCGCAATAAAGCTGAATGAAATATCTAACCGATAGCGATCCTTTTATTCCGTAAGGTTGATATATCGATTGGCTGTACGAATTTCTGCATGTATTCCCACATGCCCGTCACACCCATCGTCACCACTAAAACGTTCCGAACAGAACGATCACTTCTTAATGATTACCGAATCTTGAATTACAATTAAACCCAGTGAAATATTTCAATAAAACAGAGCAACAACTCAATTCATAAATATGTATAACGTTGTGAAATCTTAAATGCAAAATTGTGCAAGACAAACAAACTTTCACATGACATGTCGAAATAAGGAACTTTAGATTGACTAAAGTTAATTGTTCAACAGTGTGGAAACGGTAAAACGTGGAAACGGTAAGTAATATGGAACTAAAAGTTCGATTTTTGTCATCATTTGTTGAACGAATAATTTCATTGATTCATTTAAGGGAAATATATGAATAAGTGAGTTAAACGCGAGGATATGGCTAAAATGTGAATGTTACTAAGAACACTTCAATAGGAATTCAATAAAAAAATAACAACTCAAAAGCAATAACAAAACATTAATAACAAGTATCCATAACAGTATTCATAATACCTCAAACGATGAGCATCGTCAACATTTTCAATGTTATTATCATTACAATAGATTATAAGTCCATCAAATTCGATGATTTCATGCAAAACATAATAATAGAAATAAACGCATATTCAGAAATTACATAAGATTTTCCGTGTTATTTAATATTATCAGCTGCTCTTCTCTATTTTCAACACACATTGCATATTGCTGCTGCTGCTGGTGCTGCTGCTATTGAATACGCTGCACACTGTCAGACAGAGACGCTCGCTTACTCGTTTAACTCCGCTCATTCCTCGTATAATACTTACACTCACTCACATTCAATAGTCAATGCAGTTTACGTTTTAAGAAGATTCATTTAGAGAAACTAAATATTATTCATTGGAGATCGTGATGAACTCGTCATATGCACCACGTAGGTGTCAGCCGACCGCTTGTTGCCTCACGGTGTCATGTGAAAAAATCAACTGATCACCGTCTAAAATTCGCTTCGCGCATAACAACAAAACATTTCCAATTTTCAACAGCATAGCTTGTTGTAATACCGTTCTATCAATTACACAAGTACCCATAGCCACACATTATTAGAGCCTGATTTTCCAAACCTTTTTTCGCTAAACTTACTGCCAACATAGCGAAATCAGCCAGAGATAATTAATTCCGAGCGAACTTCTTAAACTGATTAATCCACAGATAATTCTTAAAAATTAAAATTTGATAGCTAACGAGTGGTGTCATGCATTTTTCAGAGTTCATAAGGAACTGAGCAGATTTGATTTTGAGTAAATTCAAATAGGAGTTTAACGAAACTGCTGGTAAGGAACTTCAAAAATGCATAGTCGTTTCAACGAAAGTATGACTTCATTCTGAAGGATTTGAAAAAGAATATTACGCAAGCATTGAGCTGGTCGCATCGTAAGTTTGGATTCTAATTGCATAGAGTAAAAAATCTGCTCTGAGTTGAAAGATGTTCGAATAATACAGCTGCGACGTCGGTTCATAAAGTTGCTACTGAAAATGAGGATTGTAAGTTGTGAAAATGAAATTTCCAGCGATAATTATTACAAAAATTGGTAAGCAGATTGAAGATCGTTCGTCAAAAATGGCTCATTCTCAAATTTGATGTGCTCTGGGATTCAGTTAGAAGATCGCTGATTTATTTGCCTTAAGTCATGGGCACATGGAAAGCAGACAATAAAATGAAATGAGTTTCTGAAGTAAATCCCTCATCACCGGAAACTATCAATTAGACAACAATGAATGATTTCTCCTGTTTTAGTACATTCAAGTGGAGTTCTACATGAAATCGACACTGTAAGAAATGAATTCAAATGAGATGGAAGTTTAAATCGGTGGTTCTGAACCATTTTTTTCGCCCGCACCCCTCGTAGTTTATTTAAAAATAAAAGGAACACGACTAAAGGAATCTTTATATAATTAATATTTAGTAACAAATAAAAAGTGATGATTTAGAAAAGAGAAAAGATTAGGAGGAATCTCAGCTCTGAATAACACCGTTTGATAACGACACCGATCTGAACTTGTATGAGGCTTTTATTCATCGCACAATTGTTGCTATTTCTAACGCACACGGTTATATCAGCTGTTCTGCAGTTGTATGGGACTTCCTAAATTTGGCTATGTTATATTCCACGTGCTCTGAAGACATCAGCAGTGTTTTCTCGGCCGATATAGAAACTAACTTTGCAAGGGTTCCTCGATAATGAAAAGTGTACTATTTTACACAAGCCGAAGATGGAAAATTTCATTCATAAATTGAACCCTCCATTCTATATTTGTGAAGCAATCAACTGTATAGCCATGATAACTGAAGAATGGAATGATGAAGAATGTATCTAATCGTATGAAATATCTGAAGGTATCAATCGAATTCATCCATCTGATCCTTTGACTTCCTCATCCCGTTGAGGTGTTAAGAGAGAGTCGTTACAATTGAATTTGTTTAGGATCGAGCATCAATTGAGTTCACATGCTCATGATCAGATGTAAACGAAGACTCCAACAAACGGAAGATACATCAACGTTGAACTGAGCGATAAGCACGAATATTTATTCAAGTAATGCTGGGTAAACCTGTTACTAGAGAATGAAAACTTATTGCGATTATCACCTTATCACATTAGATAAACAATAACTATTCAAATTACTTCGTATAATCGAATACACCATTATGCTCACAATCAACATATTATTCATGTCAACTGCATGAAACTTTAATCGCTTCCATACAGCCGTTGTTATTCTGAATTGTGATTATAAGCGAAAATTGAGCCTCAATTTAAGACTCTTTCTGAGCGACGTTCTATTGTTGAAAATTTATGAAATTTCATTTAGTCATGCATTCAGATGTCGAAAGTAAGTTTTGTTATCCTCCAATATAAAAAACGATACGCAAAAATTGTAGCACAGATCAAAAAATATCAAACAACAACGAAATATATTACATGAAACAAAAAGTATAACATCATCGCATCATCAGATCGCTTAGGAAACGTGAAACAGAGACTTCTCGAGAAAATAAGTACATATTAAGGGGAATTATTGGAGATTCATCTTAAACATCTAATAAAACCATATTTTTTGGCTGATTCTCTAAAGCCTAAAGTTAAACTTTAACAGAACATGACAATTAGACTCATTGTCTTCAAATTTGGATTCTCTTTTTGAGTTTCTTCGAAATCAGTGGAGTGATTCGAAATTATCTGAACAGTTCGCATTTTATGTATAGAATTTATTGAATATTCTGATACATCAGTGTCATTGGTGTTCACATTCGAAGCTTTGTTCAGTTCTCCATCGGAACGCTTCGCCTCGCTGAGTTTCAACGTTAATTCATTGGGCTTTACTTGATGTCACATTGTGGGCACTAAAAATCAAAATTTTGAAATGTGAGCGTTTTCTTGATTCACATTCCGAGCCTCAGTGCAACTTTCCAGCAGAGACTGTGCAACCCGATCAACAAAAAAATGTTCGTAATGATTTATGTCTATTAACACGGAAAATCTGTTTGCAAAGATTTAAAATCTATTTTATCGGTTTATTTTTCCAAAGAATTCAGTTTGACTTGAGCATCACCAGTCCCATTTTAAAATTCTCCAAGAGCAGTTACGTGTTCGAGTTGATCAAATTTCGCTATTCGACAATGCTATGAGCATCACGAATGTTCCAAAATATTACCGTAATCCATTGTGAGTATCGTTTGTTTTGACTGCGTGATGCACTTTTGTGGAATTTTTATGCTTGTCTTTATTCTCACTTTTCTTCGAACTCTTGCCTTTCTTGTGTGTTTTGCCCTTTCTTTTAACCTCTCCTTTGCCATTTTCAGTCGCTAATCGCTTGTCTTCTTTGATGCCCTTGCCAACATCTGTACTGTTAACAGTGCTTAGCGTTTGTGCACTGCTTCTATCAGTTTCATTTCTCGATGCCATCATCTCTAACGTTTCGTTGAATGTCACATAATGCACTAATGTCTCATTGCTCAATTCCTCAACCGTTTCGCTCATCACTTGTAACTGATACGGTATCGAGTCTGCAAACTGCGGCGAGTCATCGAAGAAATCATCCTCCTCTTCACTTGATTCTGCTTGATCATCACTTATTCCATTGCCTGTTATCAAATTTCCGAATCTGTCGGTAACTTTCAAAATACCGAATTCCTCATCAGCGATATAAGAATGCACTGGCCAGCCATGATCATTCGTATACCGTGGCTCATATTCTTCTTTTTGCCGGTGTCGATATTGGTCTGCTTCATTGGAGTCAACTTGATAAGTTTCTTCAGTGTTTGGGAGGACGAACTCGAGGTCGGTGATGTTCATTGCGGGCAGCTTGTCATGTCTTCTTCTCAATATCTCGTCAATCAGTGATGGGCCTGATAGCGTTGAACTGCTTGCTACATTACTGTCTGTTTGGTTCGATGGTGCAATGTTGGGTTGTTGCGATGCTAATGAAACGATCGATTCCGTCGAATTACTCTTTACATCAGCAATCTTTTCAGTGTCATTAATTTGATGTGATTCATTCGATTCGTTCACCAATTTCAGTTTTTCGTCACGAACAACAGTGTTATTTGCTGCTGCAGTTTGGGCGATCGGTTGCTCTTTGACTGAATCGATATGCAATAGTTTATGAAGACTCGTGCGTATTTCTTCGATGAAACTCTCGAATTTATTGAAGTCGATAAGCGCTCGTTTAGTGTCTTCCTTGTTCGCCATATCGTTACCGTTTGCGCTGATAGCTTCTTCCACTTTTTGTTCTCGTTTCATCTCGTTTTCACTGCTGTTGATCTTCTCCGACAAACGTTCATCGATAATCATCGACTGATTCAACTCTATTGAGATGATGCTTTCGTTTCCAATGTTAGCCGTTTCCACAGTGTACGTATTTTGCTGAGGAACGCTTGGTTCCAAAGTGCTTGCATTTATTGTGCTTAGTACTGCTAAATCTGAAGAATTGCTGGAAATAGCAGTAGTGCTGATATTTGTAAGGTCACTTACCGCAGCAGTTGTGGACT